CTCTCCCACTTTCCGGAGTCCCTTTTACAGCATCTTGAGGGAATCCTTTGACTGATGGGGAGCTCATTACCTTACAAGGCAGCCCACTCTGTGATTTCTCACTGCTTCGTACCTGAATGTCCCCTTTCCTAGTGACATTCACTCCCCACCAGGAGCCAGGGTGCAGTCACCTGACCTCAGAGCCCTTCCCTTGTCATCCCGAAGCCCTAGTCCGTGCCCACGTCACCTGCCCCATGTCTGGCTGAGGAGGGCCCCGTGGCTGACAGCCCAGCCAGCTGCCTGCTCCCTTCTCGGCTTGACAAGCCAGGCCGGCTGAGTCACGGGCTCGGCTTCTCCCAGCCCACGTGGGGTCTGGGTCTGCGCCAAGGGGGTGACTGCCTGCCAGGCTGCCCATCCTTCGGATCAAAAGGAGACCATGAGCCTCACTGAGGATTAGACCTAGGAACATTCTGGAATCCCACATTCCACCTTGGAGCTTTCCTAGGGGCAGACCCAGCAGGCAGGCATGTTATTCTACCAGTGAGGGAAGCAAAGCACATGATGTGTGTGGGGGCCTGTCCTGCCTGAGAATGGATAATATAATAATATAATAAACATAATATATTACATATTGTCATGGTTAATAATTAGAACATGCTAGTTTCCTGTGCATTGTCATATCCGTGTGATGGATGGATGGATGGATGGATGGATGGATGGATGGACGGATGGATGGATGTTGGAGGACTATGGAAGTGGGACTAATGAGTAGACAAATGGACAGATCCAATGAGGTTCTAAGGAGTAATCACGACATCACCATTTATGTTCAGTCACCACCTATTGTTTCTTTTAGGACATTCTTCTCTTCTGCTGGGCCTTTGAGCAAGAGGAGAGACCTACCTTCACCAAGCTCATGGACATGCTGGAGAAACTGCCAAAGCGAAACCGCCGCCTGTCTCACCCGGGCCATTTCTGGAAGTCTGCAGAGTAGGTTTCTCCCTCAGCCCCTGTCCCCGCCACCCAGGTCCTCTGGCCTTTGTCACCTTTTTCTCCCCTCCCCAACTCCTCCGCCAACCCTCTCCTTTCCACGCACCCACCTCCGTCCC